AAGAGATATTTACCCAACCATGCTCATAGCAGTAGTATTCACAACAGTGAAAAAGAAAGAACCAATTCAAATGTCCATCAACACAATGACGAAAGAAAATGTAAAATCTTTATAATGCAATATTATAAAGTCTTTTAAAGGAAGGAAACTGACACAGGCTACAACATGTATGAATTTTGAGAACATGATTCTGAAATAAGCTGGTCACACAAAGACAAATACAGTACGATCCTACCTATCTGAGGTAACTAGAGTAGTAAAATTCATAGAGATAAAAACTAGAATGATGGTTGCCAATGGTCAGAAAAAAGAAAAATAGCAAGTTGTCTAATGGGTATGTACTTTCAGTTCTGCAAGATAAAAACAGCTTAGCAAAGCTCTCACTGATAAGTGTAAAATAATTTGAATATCAAAATACATAATAATGGGGGGGCTTAGGTTGTAGCTCAGCAGTAGAGCACTCGCCTAGCATGTGCGAGGCCCTGGGTTCGATTTTCAGCACCACATATAAATAAGTAAAATAAAGGTATTGTATCCAACTATAACTAAAAAAATAAATATATTTTAAAAATACATAATAATAGCCAGACATGGTGACACATGCCTATAATCCCAAAGACTCAGAAGGCTGAGGCAGAAGAATAACAACTTCAAGGCTGGCAAACCCCTAAGCAAATTAGCAAGACTCTTTCTCAAAATAAAGAATAAAAAGGATTGGGGATGAGGTTCTATGGTTAAGCACCCCTGCATTGAATCCCCAGTACAGAAAAAAAAAAGTAACAGATTATGATGCTCTGAGTAAAAGAAAAATCCAACAGTTCACACTGATATAAGTAAGACATAAATGGGGTAGAAGGGAAACCCCTAACTTACCACAGAATCCCAATTAATGAATGTTCAAGGAAATTTTTTTAATTACAAAATTATAGCTAATAATAAATAAATAGCTAATACTGAAATAAGTATCATCAAATAGGTGCTAAAATAAAAGTGTAAGAAGAATAAGATATTTGCATCACCTTGAAATATCTCTCCCTGATCCTTGTTAATTACTATTAATATGTAAATCACACTTATTATTAACTTTAAAAAGAATTAAAAAGTTGTAGATACCATCCTAAGTAGTATAAGCTAACATTATCAGTACTGGGACAAATTCACATAATGTGCCTCCTAGTATGATACATCATGAAAAGCATGTCACTTCTGTAGCTTTCCCACACAAAAACCAAATCTACTCATAATATAATAACAGACAAGCTCTATTTGAGAAACACACACAAAGTAACTAGGCTGCATTCTTCAAAAATGTCATGAATGGGCTGGGGTTATAGCTCAGTGGTACAGCACTTGCCTCAGATGTGTGAGGCACTGGGTTCAATTCTCAGCACCACATATACATAAATAAATAAAATAAAGCATAGGTCCATCAACAACTAAAAAAAAAAAACATGTCATGAGGGCTAGAGTCGTGTCTCAGTGGTAGAAAGCTTGCCTAGCTATGTGAGGCACTGGGTTTGATCCTCAGAACCACATAAAAATATTGTGTCTACCTATAACTAAAAAATATATTTTTTTAAAAAAAATGTCATGAGGGCTGGGGCTGTGGCTCAGTGGTAGAGCACTTGCCTAGCATGTGTGAGGCACTGGGTTCGATTCTCAGCTCTGCATATAAATAAAAAATAAAGTTTCATTAACATCTAAAAGCTATATTTTAAAAAATGTCATGAAAGAAGGAAAAACAGAAACTGTTCTAAATAAGGAACCTAAAGAAACATGAAAATTAAATGAAACACTAAAATAATTTATAACAGGTGTTTTATCAACACTAATATCTAGAGGGGCATTCCAAAATTGTATGGGAAGCCAGGTGATGTGTACCAGTATTCCCATCTACTCAGGAAGCTTAGGCAGGAGGATCACTTGAGCTCAGGAATTCAATGACAGACAGGCAACAGAGCAAGACCCCATCTCAATAACAAAAAATAAAAACAAAAACCGATAACCTCATCTGCACAATTTCCTCTGACGAACACAAGAATCACTGCTCTTCACAATCTGTTTTCACATTCTCTTTACAACTACATTGGCCTCCTTGGTATTCTTTTACATATCAAACTCACTTTAGACTCAAGTGACTCTGTATATGCTATTTTATCTGGAATGCTCTCCCCACTCATATCCAAATGGCTTTCTTACTTTCTTCAGATATTTGATTCAATACCTCCTTCTGAGGTCCCTTCCTTGACTATTCTGTTTTATTTGTCTTTCTAACATCACCAACTGGAAGTATTATGTATTTTATTTATTTGTTTGCTTTCCATACCTGTCACCGGAATATAAGTCCCATGACAAAGAAATTTTTTATTCATTTGTTCACTGATAGTGTCCTGAACATAAAGACAAGTGATGGCACACAGCAGATATTTAGTAGGTATTTGTGTAATCAATGAATGTGCAATAGCAAGTAATGATTAAATTGTTAAACTCACACAATAGATATTATATACAATTAAACTTTTAGATAAAATTTAAAGGAAAATGATAATATATTGTTTAAGAAAAAAGTCTCCAAAAATATATGCAGTCTGGTCACTAAGGGTTCTCTAAGGACAAGACATACTAGAGAAACTATATTTCAAAATCATTATGTTAACAGATAAAGTCAAATATAAGGTGAATTGCCGGTTGACTGATAATATGGTGAAATACTCATCATAAGTATTAGAATAAACTTACTGAAAAAATTTTAGACTTTTTCTCCAAAACCTGTCTTAGAAAACATTTTTATCAATAACTTGGACAACAATAGATAGCAAATAAACAAATGCCACAAAGATAAATGATATATTTATAATAGAACAAATGACCAAATTTATATACAAAATCATTCTAATGTGCTTAAACATTGTTATGAAATCAGTAAGAAGAAATACAACAGAGTTTAAAAAAAGCAGTATATAGACAAAAGAAATGGGATAGAAATTTTGGTGGTACTTCATGTTTTTGAAAAAATGCCAAACCAGGCATGGTGGCACATGACTATAATCCCAGTCTCTTAGGAGGCTGGGGCAGGAGGATTGCATGTTCAAGGGCAGCCTCAGCAATTTAGTGAGGCCTGAGCAACTTAACAAGACCCTATCTCAAAAAATAAAAAAGGGCTGGGGATATAGAACAACAATAACAACAAAAGTGCCAGTGTATGATGTGACCATTAAAATTCTGAGAATCATCAGTAGAAAGAAAATAATAAAATGTATTTCATGTTGGTTAGATCACATGTAAAATTCCGTATATAATCTAACTCAGGACACTTTAATAAAACCACAAACTAGTCTACCCAAAGGAAGTCTTTTTGATTGTTGAGAGGTCTGAAAATAACAATATGTGAACATTTTATAAATAGGGAAATGAAGGTTACTGGAGAAAATATGAACTTTTAAATAAGCAGTGCTAGGAAAAACAATTAACTATCCATTTATTATTTGTTTTATTTTTCACAGGCACATATGCAAAACCTAAAATCCAATCTAATTTATACTTTTAAAAAACTTTTCCAAAAATAAGACAAAACAAATAATTAAGCTATATTACTGAAGAGTATTTTCTAAGAAACTCTGTATGATTCAGCTGATGAAGTCCATGGATACAATGTACTATCAATTCTTATTGGACTAATAGTTGACATTTATTAATCACTCACTAGATATCACATATTCTACTAAATATTTTATGAGCATTGTCTTATATAAATCATACCAACACCCTATAAGATAAGATAGGTGCTAATATACCCATTATTATCAATAATAGCAGACAAAATACCTTATTCACAGAAGAATGGGTAAACTGGAATACATTCATATACTGGAATACTGTACAGTAATAAGGAATGAATTAAAACTATGTACATTGCCTAGAAGAATCTGAAAAAACCACTTGAGATAATACAATCCAAAACAACTCAGTTTTCAAAGATCTATCATGCAAATTCCATCTATATAAAATTCAAAACCATACTGAAGAGCAGGGAGGTCAATACATGTCAAGATAAGAAGTAAAAAAGATATGATTGTTGGCCTGGGGTTGTGGCTTGGTGGCAGAGCACTTACCTAGCATACATGAGGCACTGGTTCAATCCCCAGCACCACATTTAAAAATAAATAAATATATAAATAAATAAACAGGTGTTGTATCCATCTTTTTTAAAAAAAAAAAAAAAGATATAATGGTATATGATATGTCAAGAGCTTTGTAATGTTTTGAAAAAACAATAAAAAAAAGATATAATGGTGATAGGGACACAAAAAACTTCAACGATATTTGGTAATGTTCTATTTCTCAAGGTGAATCTAGTAGATAGATATACAGAAATTATTTATACTTCTCTCCACACTTTACGTAAGTGTTCCTATGCATGAAAAGGTTCATACTACAAGGAAAATATTTTTTCTATTAAAAAGAAAGTCATTTTTATGTAAGCTATCATAACTCTGTGTTCTTTCTTTCTTTCTTTCTTTCTTTCTTTAGGTGGTGCTGGGGATTGAACCTAGGGCCTTATGCACACGAGGCAAGCACTCTACCAACTGAGCTATATTCCTGATAGTGTCATAACTCTGTGTTCTTAATTAGAGAATATACATCTGAAACTAGCCAGATTTCCTCTATATTTCAAGACATCTACCTTAAGAAAAAATAAGGTTGATATTTAGTCTTTTGTTCTAAAAATATACTGATACAAGCAAATCAATTCTTATTCTTTCTAAGAAGATAACTTTTTCTGAATAGATGAATTTGGAATTAATCAAAACTTATTTGGAATTCTAAAAATCAAATTAATCAAATCTTTAAATCTTAACTTTTGAAAAATTAAGACTCCTAACACTTCAGCTCAAGATTAGCAATGACTCAGCTGGAGTCATCAATGCCCAAGTAAGAGATCAATTTCTATCATCATTTTTTTTTAATTTTCTGTTTTCATTACTAGATTTCTCTTATACCTCAGATACATGAGTTGTTCTTCCATGACCAAACAATTCTGCCTTGATTTCTTCTACTTTCCTCCTGTCATCTTCATTTAATTCTGAAATTGAATATCCACACTCACGTGCTAAGTTAAACTTCAGATTCCAGGCTGGGAAGAAAGCATAAAAACCACTTGAGATAATACAATCCAAAAGTGATAATTTTCAGTGATTATAATAGCCCAGAAAATTAGCAAGCTATGCTGTATACACAACTTAATTAATGCCTACCACAATGCTCAGCATATGCTCTCAAATTATATACCCTAATGTTCTTGAAAGAAATAATTTCCTTGAAAAGCTTCATTTCTAAAAAACCATACTCTACAAATATTTCTATAAAGAGTCCACTTCAAATACGGTATTCAATCATTTTTATCCTAATCTTCCTTCCAACCAAAGAAGTCCCCTTTTCCTCCCCTTTCTGCACCTACTACAGTTACAGACACTCATATGAGAACTAGTATTTTAAAATGGTAAATAAAACTAGAAAGATTTTTTGAGAATCAAAATGTATAAGAACAGTATAGAAAATTAACCTCAAAGGAAGATTCATAGGTAGGTCTGAACTGCATATAACGAACCCCCCCAAAATATTATTCCCATATGTCTTAAAAGATTTTTATTTCCTCTTTTAATAGAATTCTACTATTAGATATTAATGGGATTAGTAAATAATTCTCTTTCAAACCTCTAACCCAAGTTTTAGTATGAAATACCTTGATACTTTTTCTTCTAATGTCTGAGATCAGTTCCAAGAATTTTATTAGAAATAGAAAGAAAAAATGTATGTAGTTTTGGAACACAAAACAATTTAGAGCACAGAAATCTGGAGATTTTTTTTCTTTTTGCCTGCCCCCAAGATAAGTTTATTATAATGGAAGAATCAGGGAAAAATAAAAGCTTTAGGAGCTTTGAAACCCAAACTTCCTTCTTAACTCTCTGATATCAAAGTCTACTTCTCCTAAAACCGTAACCTAGACTAGCACTGTTAATGCTATAACTTAGCTACATAATTGGTTAGATGAATCTTTCTAGGTTGCTTGTAGAAAATATAAACATTCTAACAGTTCTATAGGAAAAAGAAATTAAGAGCTCCAAATATGTAAGGTTAATCAATTTTTATATTTCTCAACATATCAATGTTTATAAGGCTAAACATGCCTATATGACAAATGACAGTTCTTACCTCGTGCTCGTACCCGACACTCCTCTTCCTCTGCATTTCTAAGTATTTGTTTAGCATGATTTAATGAGGATTCACAATGCAGAAGATTTTTCACACGTGCAGCCAGTGAATCTACACTACCACCATCGTCACTCTCTGACATACCCTGTTCCTCTCTGCTATCTGTTATGCTTGGATTCGGTGAAGTGTATGGAAAAAAGTTGAGAAGAACATCAGAAACTGATTCCAAAGACTCTGGTAAATTACTCTCCCATGAGCAGGAACCATGTCCATCACTTACATCACTACTTGAATCACTTTTTATCATAGTCATCATAGGGATAATAATTTTGTTCCCAATGGTTCTACTATAGCGTTCAGGTTCAGACCTCATTGCAGATTTGGCTGCTTCATATTGCCTAAGAGTTTCACCTAATGCCATTCTAGCTTTGCTTTCTGCTTCCTGTAGAGGACTTCTAATTGTAGTTGATCTAATAAACTCCCAATTTTCAATGCCTCTCTGGCATTTCAAATTCGTTTGTGTGCCAATATCTTTCTGTATGCTTCTATTGCTTGGGCTTTCCTCCTCTATATATGGCTGTCTACGAAGGAAATCACCATCAGATACATCAGTTGTGGGGGGTTCTTTGAAGCAAACCACCTTCTTAGATCGTATAAATGAAATATCACTAACATCTCTGAAAGGGACAAGGGGAGCAGGAAAATTGCATCGTTTCAGTGCTATATTTTCTGCCTCCATTAAAAGTGTCCGAATTTCTTTAAGAGTTTTGGAACTATTATATGTATCCTGGATTTCCTCTGAACCATTATCTTCAAAACCTATAGATTCAGGCTTAATTATTACAAGTCCATCATCAGCTTGAGAATTTAATGGCATATGTTTTGAGAAAGCACTTGAATCAAAAGAATCCAAATTATCTATTAGTCTTTGGACATGTTCTGAAACAAGTTTGTCCTTTTCATCAGGTGAATAAGTACCAGGGGAAATTATTGATAACCCAGTAATTTGATCAGATTGCCCAAGACCACTAGAGACCTTCAGATCATCTTCAGTTAGATGTCTACACGGCAAATCCTTTTGATAGAAAATATTCAATTTTCCTCTGTATGAAAAGGAACTAGGAGGAGCTGTTGGTAACTCTGTTTTCTGGTCAGCTGGTTCAGGAACAGTCAAAACCTTTAGTGCATCTTCAGTTTGATATCTGTCTGGCAATTCCCGTAGATACAAATTATTAGATTTTTCTTTCTGTAAATAAGAACCACAGAGAGTTATTGGTGCCCCAGTATTTACATCAGTTGGCTCAGGGACAGTTGAAATCTTTAGAATATCTTCACTTTGATCTCTATCTGGCAACTGCTGTTGGAAAAAAACATGAGGTTTTACTCTTTCAGAATAGGAACTATGAAAAACTGTCAGTAATGGAGTCTCCTGGTCATCTGGTCCAATCACAGTTGAAATCCTGGGCTTCTCTCTCTGTAAATGGAAACTATGGGTAACTGTTGGTAACTCTGTCTTCTGGTTGTCCGGTAGATTCACAGTTGAAACCTTGAGTTTCTCTTGATGTGAGTAGGAACTCGATGGTACTGCAGGTATCCTATTCTTCTGGTCACCTAGTCCAGAAACAGTTGAAGCCTTCAGAGATTCTTCAGTTAGATCACTATCAGGAAAGGACTGTTGAGAAAAATCACTAGGCTTCTCTCTATGGATGTAGGAACTAGAGGGTGTTCCAGCCCTCTGCTCTACTGGAACAGAAACAGATGAAACTTTCGAAGCCTCTTCAGTGAGATGGCTCTCTGGCAACTCCTGTGGAGAGAAGACACTGGGCTTCTCTCTATGTGAGTAGTAACTCAAAGGCAGTGTTGATATTCCAGTCTTCGGGTCATCTGGTTCAGGAAGAACAAGAACGTCTAAAGCTTCTTTGGAAATATTTGGCAACTCCTGCTTATGAAAACTACTGGAGTAAGAACTAGAGGATACTGTTTGTATTCCAGTCTTCTGGTCAGCAAGTCCAGGAACCTTTACTGTTTTCAAAGTGACCTGAGTAAGATCTGGCAATTCCTGCTGTAAAGAAATGATAGACTGTTCTCCCTGTGAATAGGGAGTAGAGGTTATTGTGTGTATTCCAGTCTTATAGTCAGCTGGTTCAGGATCCCCTAAAACTTCCAAAGTATCTTCAGGAATATCTGTCAACTCCTGCTGGTAAGAAATAATGGGCTTTTCTCCATGTAAATAGCGGGTAAAGGGCACGATGTGTATCCTAGTATTCTGATCAGAAAGTCCAGGAACACCTAAAATGTTCAAATCATCTTCAGCACGACGTGCTAACTCTTGTTGGTAGGAAATAACAGTCTGATCTATAGGTGAGTAGGAAGGAGAGATTTCAATAGGTATTGTGGTATCTACTGGTTCAGAAATAACTGAAAGTTTCAGACTTTCTTCACTTCGCTGACTATCCGGCAGGACTTGGTGGTAGAGAACAATGGGCTCCTCTCCAAATGAGTAGGGGGAAGTGGAGGATACAGTCAGATTCCCAGCCTGCAAGTCAGTTGGTTCAGGAGAGGATAAAACTTTCAAAGCCTCTTTAGGTAGATAACTATCTGTCAAGGCCCTTTGATAGAAAATAACAGGCTTCTCTTCAAGTGAATAGGAACTTGAAGATAATGTTGGTGTCACCATATTCTGGTCAGCTGGTCCAGGAGCAGTCAGAGATTCTTCAGGTATATGACTACTTGGCAAGGACTGTTGGTAGAAAATGCCAAGCTTATCTCTTTGTGAGTAGGAAGGAGGGATTACGGTTGGTATGCCAGTCTTCTGGTCTGTTCCAGGAGTAGCTGAAACTTTGAGAGCCTCTTCAGGTAGATGACTATCTGGCAGGGTCTGTTGGTAGAAAATAATAGGTTTTTCTCTATGCAAGTAGAAAGTAGATGATCCTATTGGTATCCCAGTCTTATGATCATCTAGTCCAGGAACAAATGAAACTTTCTGAGCCTCTTCATTTAGATGATTATTTGATAACATCTGCCGATAGAAAATATTGGATGTCTCTCTCTGTGAGTAGGATGTAGAGGTTAGTATTGGTATCCCAGTCATCTGGTCAGCTGATCCAGGAATAGCTGAAATTTTCAGAGGCTCTTTAGTTGGATAACTATCTGACAAGGCCTGCTGGTAAATAACACCAGGCTTCTCTCTCTGAGGGTAAGAACTAGAGTATACTTTTGTTGTCAGAGTCTTCTGGTCAGCTAGTCCTGGAATAGCTGAAACTTTCACAGTCTCTTCAGTTACATGACCATCTGGTAACTCTTGCCAGTAAAAAGTACCAGGCTTCACTCTGTGTGAGTAGGAAGTAGAGCGGACTGCTGCAGTTTCAACCTTTTGGTCAGCAGACCTAGGAAAAGTTGACACTTTCAGAGCTTGATCAGTTACATGACTTTCTGGCAAGGCCTGACGATAGAAAGCATAAGATTTATCTACATGTGGGAAGGAAGCAGAGGACACTGTGGTTATCCCAGTCTTCTTGTCAGCTGGTCCAAGAGCAGATGAAAGAAACTCTTCAGCTAAATGACTCTCTGGCAACTCTTGTTGGTAGAGAATAATAGCAGGATCCCCTCTATACGAGTACGAAGGAGAAGTTATAGTAGGTATACTAATCTTCCGGTCATCTGCTCCAGGAGCAAGAGAAACATTCAGAGTTTCTGCAGGTATATGACTACCTGGCAAAACCTGTTGGTAGAAAACACCAGGCTTATTTCTTGGTGAATAGGAAGTAGAGGTTAGAGTTGGTATCCTGGTCTTCTGGTTATCTGGTCCAGGAACAGATGAAACTCTCAGAGCCTCTTGACCACCTGGCAAGGATTGTTGGTAGACAACATTAGGCTTATCTTTTGGTGAGTAGGGAACAGAGGATACAGGTGGTATGCCAGTCTTCTGGCCAGCAGGTCCCAGAACAGCTGAAGCTTTAAGACTCTTTATAGGTATCTGACCTCTTGGCAAGGACTGTTGGTAGAAAACATCAGGCTGGTCCCTTGGTGAGTAGGAAGGAGAGGTTGTAGGTGTTATGCCAGTCTTCGGGCCAGCTGCTCCAGGAACAGCTGAAACTTTCTGAGTCTCTATAGGTATCTGACCACCTGGCAAACCTTGTTGGTGGAAAACACCAGGCAGGTCACTTTGTGAATAAGGAACAGAGGTTGCAGGTGGTATGCCAGTCTTCTGGCCTGCTGGTCCAGGAGCAGATGAAACTTTCAAAGCCTCTGCAGGTATCTGACTACCTAGCAAGGCCTTTTGGTGAAAAACATCAGGCTTATCTCTTGGTGAATAGGAAGGAGAGGTTGCAGGTGGTATGCCAGTCTTCTGGCCAGTTGGTCCACAAGCAGCTGAAACTTTCAGAGCCTCTGCAGCTATATGACCACCTGGCAAGGCCTGCTGGGAGAAAACACCAGGCTGGTCTCTTTCTGAGTAGGTAGCAGAGGTTGCAGGTGATATTCCAGTCTTCTGGTCAGCTGGTCCAGGAGCAGCTGAAACTTTCAGAGCCTCTATAGGTATATGACCACCCGGCAAGGCCTTTTGGTAGAAAACATCAGGTTCATCTCTTGGTGAGTAGGAAGGAGAGGTAACAGGTGGTATGCCAGTCTTCTGGCCAGCTGGTCCAGGAGCAGCTGAAACTTTCAGAGCCTCAGCAGCTATCTGACCACCTGGCAAGGCCTGCTTGGAGAAAACACCAGGCTGGTCTTTTTGTGAGTAGGGAACAGAGATTGCAGGTATTATGCCAATCTTCTGCTCAGTTGGTCCAGGAGCAGCTGAAAGTTTCAGGGCCTCTGCAGGTATCTGAACACCTGGCAAGGCCTTTTGGTAGGAAACATCAGGCTCATCTACTGGTGAGTAGGAAGGAGAGGCTGCAGGTGGTATGCCAGTCTTCTGGCCAGCTTGCCTAGGAGCAGCTGAAACTTTCAAAGCCTCTGCAGGTATCTGACCACCTGGCAAGGCCTGCTGGTAGAAAATATCAGGCTTCTCTCTTTGTAAATCAGAGGGTAACGTTACAGCTGGTAACCCAGTCTTCTGCTCATCTTTTCCAGGAATAGCTGAAAATTTCTGAATCTCTGCAGATATCTGCCCACCTGGCAAGGCATGTTGGTAGAAAACACCAGGCTGGTCTCTTTGTGAGTAGGGAACAGAGGTAACAGGTGGTATGCCAGTCTTCTGGCCAGCTGGTCCAGGAGCAGCTGAAAGTTTTGGAGTCTCTGCAGCTATCTGACCACCGGGTAAGGCCTTTTGGTAGAAAACATCAGGCTCATCTCTTGGTGAGTAGGAAGGAGAGGTTACAGGTGGTTTGCCAGTCTTCTGGCCAGCTGGTCCAGAAGTAGCTGAAACTTTCAAATCCTCTGCAGGTATCTGACCACCTAGCAAGGCCTGCTGGTAGAAAATACCAGGCTTGTCTCTTTGTAAGTCAGACGGTAACGTTATAGCTGGTAACCCAGTCTTCTGCTCATCTGTTCCAGGAATAGCTGAAAATTTCTGAATCTTTGCAGGTATCTGCCCACCTGGCAAGGCATGTTGGTAGAAAACACCAGGCTGGTCTCTTTGTGAGTATGGATCAGAGGTAACAGGTGGTATTCCAGTCTTCTGGCCAGCTGGTCCAGGAGCAGCTGAAACTTTCGGAGCCTCTGCAGGTATCTGACCACCCGGCAAGGCCTGGTGGTAGAAAATACTAGGCTTGTCTCTTTGTGAGTAGGGAACAGAGGTTACAGGTGTTATGCCAGTCTTCTGGTCAGCTGATACAGAAGTACCTGAAACTTTCAAGACCTCTGCAGGTATGTGACCACCTGGCACAGACTGTTGGCAGAAAACATCAGGCTTGTCTCTTGGTGAATAGGAAAGAGAGGCTGCAGGTGGTATGCCAGTCTTGTGGCCAGCTGGTCCAGGGACAGATGAAATTTTCAGCGCCTCTGCAGGTATGTGACCCCCTGGTAAGGTCTGTCGGTAGTAAACATCAGGCTCATCTCTTTGTGAGTAAGGAACAGAGGTAACAGGTGGTATGCCAGTCTTCTGGCCAGCTGGTCCAGGAGCAGTTGAAACTTTCAGGGCCTCTGTAGGTATCTGACCTCCTGGCAAAGTCTGCTGGTAGAAAACATCAGGTTTATCTCTTGGTGAATAGGAAGGAGAGGTTGCAGGTGATATGTCAGTCTTCTGGTCAGCTAGTCCAGGAGCAACTGAAACTTCCAGAGCCTCTGTAGGATTCTGATCACCTGGCAAGGCCTTTTGGTGGAAAACATCAGGCTTATCTCTTGGTGAATAGGAAGGAGAGGTTGCAGGTGGTATGCCAATCTTCTGGCCAGCTGGTCCAAGAGCAGCTGAAACTTTCAGAGCCTCTGCAACTATGTGACCACTTGGCAAGGCTTGCTGGGAGAAAACACCAGGCTGGTCTCTTTGTGAGTAGGTACCAGAGGGTGCAAGTGGTATGCTAGTCTTCTGATCACCTGGTCCAGGGGTAGCTGAGACTCTCAGGGCATCTGCAGTTATCTGATCACCTGGCAAGGCATGTTGGTAAAAAACACCAGGCTTCTCTCTTTGTAAGTCAGAGGGTGACAATACACTTGGTAACCCAGTCTTCAGGTCATCTGTTCCAGGAATAGCTGAAAATTTCTGAACCTCTGCCGGTATTTGACCACCTGGCAAGGCCTGCTGGTAAAAAATATTAGGCTTTTCTCTTGGTGAATAAGAAGGAGAGGTTGCAGGTGGTATGCCAGTCTTCTGGCCAGCTGGTCCCAGAGCAACTGAATCTTTCAAATCCTCTGCAGGTATCTGACTACCTGTCAAGGCCTGTTGGTAGAAAACACCAGGCTGGTCTCTTTGTGAGTAAGGAACAGAGGTAACAGGTGGTATGCCAGTCTTCTGGCCAGCTGGTCCAGGAGCAGCTGAAACTTTCAGAGCATCTGCAACTATCTGACCACCTGGCAAGGCCTGTCGGTAGAAAACACCAGGCTGGTCTCTTTGTGAGTAGGGAACAGAGGTTGCAGTTATGCCAGTCTTCTGGTCAGCTGGTCCAGAAGTAGCTGAAACTTTCAAGGCCTCTACAAGTATCTGACCTCCTGGCAAGACCTGTTTGTAGAAAACACCAGGCTGGTCTCTTTGAGAGTAGGGAACAGAGGTTGCAGGTGGTATGCCAGCCTTCTGGTCAGCTGGTCCAGAAGCAGCTGAAACTGTCAGGGCCTCTGCAGGTTTCTGACCACCTGACACAGTCTGTTGGTAGAAAACATCAGGCTTGTCTCTTGGTGAATAGGAAGGAGAGGTTGCAGGTAGTATGCCAGTCTTCTGTCCAGCTGGTCCAGGAGCAGATGAATGTTTCAGGGCCTCTGCAGGTATCTGATCACCCGGCAAGCCCTGTCGGTATAAAACACCAGGCTGGTCTCTTTGTGAGTAGGGAACAGAGGGTCCAGGTGTTATGCCAGTCTTTTTATGGTCAGCTGAAACTTTCAGGTCCTCTGCAGGTATATGATCACCCAGCAAGGCCTGTTGGTAGAAAACACCAGGCTGGTCTCTTTTTGAGTAGGGAACAGAGGGTGCAGATGTTATGCCAGTCTTTTTCTGGTCAGTTGGTCCAGAGGCAGTTGAAACTTTCAGGTCCTCTGCAGGTATCTGATCACCCGGCAAGGCCTGTCGGTATAAAACACCAGGCTGGTCTCTTTGTGAGAAGGGAAAAGAGGTTGCAGGTGGTATGCCAGTTTTCTGTCCAGCTGGTCCAGGAGCAGCTGAAACTTTCAGGTCCTCTGCAGGTATCTGATCACCCGGCAAGGCCTGTTGGTATAAAACACCAGGCTGGTCTCTTTGTGAGAAGGGAAGAGAGGTTGCAGCTGTTATGCCAGTCTTCTGGTCAGCTGTTCCAGAAGCAGCTGAAAGTTTCAGGGCCTCTGCAGGTATCTGATCACCTGGTAAGGCCTGTCGGTATAAAACCTCAGACCGTTCCCTTTGTGAGTAGGAAACAGAGGCTGCAGGTGGTATGCCAGTCTTCTTCTGGTCAGCTGGTCCAGGAGCAGCTGAAAGTTTCAGGGCCTCTGCAGGTATCTGATCACCCAGCAAGCCTTGTTGGTAGAAAACACCAGGCTGGTCTCTTTGTGAGTAGGGAATAGAGGGCACTGATATTATGCCAGTCTTCTCGTCAGCTGGTCCAGAAGCAGATGAAAGTTTCAAGGCCTCTACAGGTATCTGATCACCTGGCAAGGCCTGTCGGTAGAAAACACCAGGCTGGTCTCTTTGTGAGTAGGGAACAGAGGGTCCAGGTGTTATGCTAGTCTTTTTCTGGTCAGCTGGTCCAGAAGCAGTTGAAACTTTCAGGTCCTCTGCAGGTATCTGATCATCCAGCAAGGCTTGTTGGTAGAAAACACCAGGTTGGTCTATTTGTGAATAGGGAAGAGAGGTTGTAGGTGGTATGCCAGTTTTCTGTCCAGCTGGTGCAGGAGCAGCTGAAACTTTCAGGGCCTCTGCAGTTATCTGACCACTCGGCAAGGCCTGTCGGTATACAACACCAGGCTGGTCTCTTTGTGAGTAGGGAACAGAGGGCACAGATGTTATGCCAGTCTTCTGGTCAGCTGGTCCAGGAGCAGCTGAAAGTTTCAGGGACTCTGCAGGTATCTGATCACCCGGCAAGGCCTGTCGGTATAAAACACCAGGCTGGTCTCTTTGAGAGTAGGGAAAAGAGGGCACAGATGTTATACAAGTCTTCTGGTCAGCTGGTCCAGAAGCAGATGAAAGTTTCAGGGCCTCTGCAGGAATCTGATCACCTGGCAAAGCATGTCGGTATAAAACACCAGGCTGGTCTCTTTGTGAGTAGGGCACAGAGGGCGCAGATGTTATACCAGTCTTCTGGTCAGCTGGTCCAGGAGCAGCTGAAAGTTTCAGGGCCTCTGCAGGTATCTGATCACCTGGCAAGCCCTGTCGGTATAAAACACCAGGCTGGTCTATTTGTGAGTAGGGAACAGAGGGTGCAGGTGGTATGCCAGTCTTCTGGCCTGCTGGTCCAGAAGCAGCTGAAAGTTTCAGTGTCTCTGCAGGTATCTGACCACCCGGCAAGCCTTGTTGGTAGAAAACACTAGGCTGGTCTCTTTGTGAGTAGGGAAAAGAGCTTGCAGGTGGTATGTTAGTCTTCTGGCCAGCTGTTCCAGAAGCAGCTGAAAGTTTCAGGGCCTCTGAAGGTATCTGCTCACCTGGCAAGGCCTGTCTATATAAAACACCTGGCTGGTCTCTTTGTGAGTACGGAATAGAGGGTGCAGATGTTATGCCAGTCTTCTGGCCAGCTGGTCCAGAAGCAGCTGAAACTTTCAGGGCCTCTGCAGTTATCTGACCACCCGGCAAGGCTTGTTGATAGAAAACACCAGGCTGGTCTCTTTGTGAGTAGGGAAGAGAGGGCGCAGGTGGTATGCTAGTCTTCTGGCCAGCTAGTCCAGAAGCAGCTGAAAGTTTCAGGGCCTCTGCAGGTATCTGTTCACTCGGCAAGGTCTGTCGGTATAAAACATCAGGCTGGTCTCTTTGTGAATAGGGAAGAGAGGTTGCAGGTGCTATGCCAGTCTTCTGTCCAGCTGGTCCAGAAGCAGCTGATAGTTTCAGGGCCTCTGCAGTTATCTGATCACTCGGCAAGGCTTGTTTGTAGAAAACATCAGGCTGGTCTTCTTGTGAGTAGGAAAAAGAGGGTGCAGATGTTATGCCAGTCTTCTGGCCAGCTGGTCCAGGAGCAGCTGAAACTTTCAGGGCCTCTGCAGGTATTTGACCACCTGGCACAGCTGGTTGGTAGAAAACATCAGGCTTGTCTCTTGGTGAATAGGAAGGAGAGGTTGCAGGCGGTATGCCAGTCTTCTGGCCAGCTGGCCCAGGAGCAGATGAAATTTTCAGGGCCTCTGAAGCTATCTGACCACCTGGTAAGGCCTGTTGGTAGAAAAAACCAGGCTGGTCTCTTTTTGAGTAGGGAACAGAGGTTGCAGGTGGTATGCTAGTCTTCTGGCCAGCTGGTCCAGAAGCAGCTGAAAGTTTCAGGGCCTCGGAAGGTATCTGACCACCTGACACAGTCTGTTGGTAGAAAACATCAGTCCTATCTCTTGGTGAATAGGAAGGAGAAGTTTCAGGTGGTATGCTAGTCTTCTGTCCAGCTGGTCTAGGAGCAGATGAAAGTTTCAGAGCCTCTGCAGGTATCTGATCACCCGGCAAGGCCTGTCCGTTTAAAATACCAGGCTGGTCTCTTTGTGAGTAGGGAACAGAGGTTGCAGGTGGTATGCCAGTCTTCTGTCCAGCTGGTCCAGAAGCAGCTAAAAGTTTCAGGGTATCTGCAGGTATCTGATCACCCAGCAAGGCCTGTAGGTAGAAAACACCAGGCTGGTCTCTTTGTGAATAGGGAAGAGAGGGTGCAGGTGTTATGGCAGTCTTCTGGCCAGCTGGTCCAGAAGCAGCTGAAACTTTCAAGGCCTCTGCAGGTATCTGACCACCTGACAGAGTCTGTTGGTAGAAAACATCAGGCTGATCTCTTGGTGAATAGGAAGGAGAGGTTACAGGTGATATGCCTGTCTTCTGGCCAGCTGGTCCAGGGGCAGAAGAAATTTTCAGGGCCTCTGCAGTTATCTGACCACCTGGTAGGGCCTGTCGGTAGTAAATACCAGGCTCATCTCTTTGTGAGTAGGGAATAGAGGTTGCAGGTGTTATGCCAGTCTTCTGGACAGCTGGTCCCAGAGCAACTGAATCTTTCAAACCCTCTGCAGGTATCTGACCTCCTGACAAGACCTGCTGGTAGAGAACACCAGGCTGTTCTCTTTGTGAGTAGGGAACAGAGGTAACAGGTGGTATACCAGTCATCTGGCCAGCTGGTCCAGGAGCAGCTAAAATTTTCAGAGCCTCTGAAGGTACCTGACCACCCGTCAAGGCCTGTTGGTAGAAAATACCAGCCTTATCTCTTGGTAAGCAGGAAGGAGAAGTTGCAGGTAGTAAGCCAGTTTTCTGGTCAGCTGGTCCAGGAGCAGCTGGAACTTTCAGGGCCTCTGCAGGTACCTGACCACCTGGCATCGCCTGATGATAGAAAATACCAGTCTTTTCTCTAGGTGAGTGAGAAATGGATGGTACAGTTGGTATGCCAGTGTTCTGGTCATCTGATCCAGGAATACCTGAAACGTTCAGTGCCTCCTCAGTTAGATAACTATCTGGCAAGCCCTGTTGGTATAAAATACTGGGCTTCTCCCTGTAAGGGTAGGAAGAAGGAGGTTCTACTGGCATCCCATACTTCTGGTCAGCTGGTTCAGAATTATCTGAGACTTTTAGACTCTCTTCAGTTAGATGACTATGGGTCAATGCCATTTGGTTAGGAGCATCAGTGTGTAGACCAATAGTATTCCCTTGTAAAGAACTTATAGCCAATTGAGGTAAGTCCTCAGGGTATAAAGATAAATGAGATTCAATGTCTGAATCTTCAGTAGTGGTAGTGATACCCAATTTCAACTTGGATTGAGTTATTTCAGGTATGCTTCCTTCAGAAGAGTCTCCTAAAGGAAGAGATTTGTTAATATTATAAATTTTGTCAATAAAAAAAGAAATCAAACAAGCCTCACCTCCTTGGGCCTCTAAACTTTTAGAAATGAAATCTATTGCTGGGCGCTAAGCAACTCAGTGAGACCCTGTCCCTAAACAGAAATACAAAATAGGCTGGGGATGTGGATTTGTGGTCTAGTGCCCAAGTTCAATCCCTGGTACCAAAAAAAGAAATAAAAAGAATCCTGTGGAAATAATCATCAAAGGAAACAAATGTCCATGAAGACACTAATTACAAAGCAAACCAAAGTGAAAATGATCAACAATAATAACAGTAATATCAACTTAATGAAATATTTTATAGATCTTAAAAAATTTATTTAAAGAATTTTCAATGGGATAGCAAAATACCATTGGGTCTGGGATTTGATTTCAATCTGCTTGCAATCTAGTAGTCTGTTGTTGTGTCATGAATGCTGACAGAAAACATAAGGTTCTTTGTCAGGGAAATTTCTTTTATTATTAGCTTATTTTCAAGGGCTCCTCTCAGCCTCAAGTGCTACAGGGGCAATGCAATACAGATGCTATGCATGCAGTGAGTTTGACCAACTCCTTATATATTACATATATTTTATATGGAAAGAGAGATCTATATAGACATTGTTTTCTTTTCGTTTTGGGGATAGAATCCAGTGGCACTTAACCACTGAGCCACATCCCCAACCCTTTTTTATATTTTATTTAGAGATGGGGTCTGGCTCAGTTGCTTAGGCCCTCACTAAGTTTCTGAGGCTGGCTTTGAACTTCCAATCCTCCTGATTCAGCCTCTGGAGCTGCTGGGATTACAGGCATGTGCCATGGTGACTGGCATGTTTTTTATTAAGTATATGAAACTGTATAAGACGAAAGGTACACTAAGAAGTTTGAACTTAATTCTATAGGCATGGGGAACTGTTGACCACTTTGATAAGAACTATAATGCATCAATACAGATTCAAGGCAGATAAAAAGGGAATGAGAGTGTTTAAACAGAACAACCCATCAGAACTTTCTGCAATAATACAAATGTTCTGTATTTTCACTACTAGAGTAATTCTAAATCAAAGTAGATCTAAATAGCAGTGTAAATGAATGACTACAACACAATAAAAGGATTTAACAAGTTGTATATTAATTCATTTATTCATTCAAAAAATATGAATCCTTATGATGTGCCAGACATCATTCTAGATAAAGGTAAATACAATAATAAAAAAACAGACAATTCCTACTTCACAGAGTTTCCATCCTAAGAGGAGGAGGCACACAATTAAACATAATTGGTAAAATAGGGTATATCAGATATAATATGGTTGCTATACACAGCACACATTACCTATCTTTTACATACAGCAAAACTGAGTTTCCAAGATAATTATACCACAGTGCTTCTCAATGTGAGTTATCTTGTTAACTTGCAGGCTCTGATTCGGCAGATCTAATGAGATCTGAAATTCTCCATTTTTACATGTTCTCTTGTGATAATGCAATATATTGGTCCTTAGACCACATGTTGAATAGTGAAGATATATAATTTTTCTAGAGTTCTAAAACAAATGACAAAAACTAGTACCTTAACCCTTCAATTCTAACTCTGAGTTCTGAACTCTTTTCACTACAACTGACTGCCCTTCCTAAAAGGCCTCTGGTGAGCTTCAAAGTAGCTAAATACAGAAGAAGATGAGTTGAGGCATGAATCGTAGAATTAGAAGTATCAACTATACAGAAAAACTGAAAGCAAAAGAAAATATGTAAAAACTGCACTGCAACCTGAGAAGTAATATGGGTTATGAATATTTTGTGAGGAAATAAAATAGGCCCAAGTAGAGAAAAAAAACAAAACAGATTAATAACACAAAATCTTGTTATTCCAAACAACTTCCTAACTTTTTGACTTTACATTTCTTTGATCATTACAAATTATCAGTGATATCATGAAGGGAACAAATGAGTTAAGAAACAGCCAAGGAGTTAAGATACAGAACCCATATTCTTGAAAGATATATAACAGTTTATATAAGATAGCAATACCTTAAGTAGAAATCCCTTTGGAGGAAGGAAAAGGTTAGTAAAGAAAACTTGAATAATTGGAGTAAGCTGCTAAAAGTAAAAAACAGGAAGGATCCCCCCGGCCTAAAAAAAGAAAAAAAAACTGAGAATAAAAGGATAAAAAAAAAAAAAAACACATAAGTTGGGCAAAGATGGGGCATAAAGGGTGGGGAAAGGAAATGTTCCAAACAGAGCAAACAGTATCTGCAAGGTTGAGGAGACAAGAGGGTTTAGCATAAGGAAATGACAGTAGTTCAATATGATTAAAAAGGCAAGTAAGGGTAAAGCTAAAGATATGAGCAGGGACCTTTTACAACATATCAAGGAGTTTTTAAATTATCCCAAGGAATTTACAATTCGTCCTGAGGTAAAACAAGGGTTTCAAACTAAAAGTAACACTATCAAGTCTGCCTTGTAAAAAAAGACTATTCTGGCTTTTATAAAAAAAATAGAATGGCAGAAAAGATGACCTGTTTTCTATTACTAACGCAGTAATCCCGAAAAGAGAAATTGAGAGTATAATAATTAGAATCAACAGTATTGGGTAACTGAAGAAAGATGAAGGTGAGAAAATACAAATTTCTGACTTGGCTTAGCAGACCTTCACACAATTAGAAGAAATACTGAAGGAAGATTAGGTTTGAAGAGATGATGATTTGTCCAGTGTTTGAAGTTCTGACGTTAAGGTGCCTCTGAGACAACCAAATGAAGATAGTCCATAGACAATCAGATAGAAATATCTGGAGTACAAGACACATCTAGATGGGAGTCCTACATTTGGTACTATAGAAAGTAACTGAAGCCTTAAGTATAGATAATATCTCAAAGTTAAGATCACTTTTTGCACAAAGCATTATTTCCCACCATGTTTCTATCTGCTTCTGTAAACGAGCTAAGGACAATCAGTACTGTACCAGGTTAACTGATGCTTTTAGAAAACAATCATTAAAACTTCCCTGCCTTTAGTATGTACCATGATTTGTGTTCGGCATTAATTGAAATGAAACATGATGTTCTCTCTGAGGGAGAAAAAAAATTTTTTTAATATTTCTTAGTTGTCAATGGACCTTTATTTTATGTATTTATATGTGATGCTGAGAATCGAACCCAGTGCCTCACACATGCTAGGCAAGAGTTCTACCACTGAGCTACAACCCCAGCCCATGAAGAAGAAAATTTTTATAAATAGTGGTGTGCTATATTTATGAAAAGTAAGAGGGGCATTTAAATTTTTTTAAAAGGAGGGAGGAGAACAATATGGAAATGAAATAATCAAATACTCTTAAGCTAAGCCTGAAATTACAACTAGAATGTAAAAAGACTGAGAAGAAAGGAAACGTCATCCCAGGAAAGGGAAAACCAGAAGTAAAATATCAAAAGAATAAACACAACTCTACAGGTAGGGAGGTAAATGCAAACAACAACAAAATGCCTTGCCTGGTACCAAATTGTACAGGAAAGAAAATGAAGATTGAATAAATAGAAAGTCTTGGTAATCAACCAGATAGAGTTGAGATCTGACATGGAGAAAGGAGAACATATCATCAATATTCAAGGAGAATATGAGTTGAGTTTATAGAAGATAAAAGATAGTATGAATGCAATGAGTGGCCCGAGATGGCAGCACAGGCTACCAAGCTCTCACTCTCATTCATTCTATGTGTCTTGCATAATTTCCCTTTCAAAATTGGGATACCTAATATTGAGGCAGCCTTAGAAGGTAGTGAGAATTAAATCTGTCAAAAAAAATTTTGATTAAAAACATAAAGGGTTGGATAAAAACATAAAGGGTAGAACCAAAACCTATAAAACAATATATAAATATATACATATAAATCTCTATATCCACCAGCCTTCCTGAAACCACCTTGCTGAGGGTAAAGTGATTCATTTTCTCCCTACTGCTTGTAGCCCTCTTCTTGTTTTTAAAATAACTTCAAATAAACAAAAAATAGAATAATAGCTCTCTGGATTGCCTAACACATGTAAGACCACAAATTTGGTCCCTAGCTCAGAAAAGGAGGAGGTGGGGGGGGGGGGATAATAAAGCTCTGATTTTAAATGTTCTCATCTTAATGTGAGGTGAGAAATGTTAATTAGCTTGATTTAATTATTGCAATGTCTACATGTATCAAAACATCACCTTGAACCCCATAAATACATATAAATTTTATGTTGAAATTAAAAATTGACTTTTAAAATGCTTTTTTAAAAGATGAAATCTGTAATATTTAAGATAGGATAGACAAGTAGACCAATGCAACTGAAAAAAGAGCCCAGAAAGAAACAAACAAAATGTGATATTGAAGTAGAAAAGCAGCTCTGGAGGTAGACTGCTTGGGTTCATGACTGGCACCCCACCACTTTACTATGTATGGGGCCTTGGGCAAGTCATTTAACTTCTCTAAGTCTCATTTTGTTCAACGATCAAATAGAATAATAGCAGTAGACATCACCAAAAGTATAGCTATAAAATTAATATATAATTATATTAACGTAAATTTTATACAATAAGTAAATGCCTAGCAAAGTAAGCAAGTAATAAATGATATCTATTATTATCACTCTGTGATGGGGCTGCATATTTTAGAAAAATTAGCAAAGTTTCATGGCATAGGTGTGCACGTTCTGTGACTTAAGACTCCAGGGCTTATTCCAAATTGCTAAGGGCTTTACCTTGAATCTCATACCCATGGCCCCATCTGGTAATTTCTATCTATAGTCAAAGACTATTCAAAGATAATGTAGCATTATATTAAAAATTAAGAATTCCAAGCAAAAAATATGAGAATGAGCTGTTCAGCAAGACTGTAGTTTACAAAATTAATATAAAAAATTCAATTTTACTTCTACATACCAGCAATGAATTCTCCAAAAGTGACATTAACATTCTTACGTGTAATATCATTAAGAAGATTTAAACTTA